AAAATGGTAAAAAAAAAAAATTTACCCAGAGAGAAACACTGATTATGTTGGTGTGTGATATTCCTTTCTGGCCATTTGGGCATAATTCTCAGTCAAAGTCTACACAGGTAATTGTGGTTTTCATGCAATGATTGCTCCAGACCACCATGGATACCTGGGACCAATGCTCCACACAATGGATGCAATACAGAGTAGGCTTGGAACACAGCAGTCTGTGTAGGGCATCTCCTCATATTGGCATGACTTGTTATTATGATCAGTGGGGACTACAGCAACCCAATCCAGATAGGAAGAGAGTTTTCCCGGAGACTGCAGGAAACAAGGAATGTTATTCCTCCAAGGTGAAGTACCAAGACCTCCTGAGATGGTTGTAGAGTGTGTGTGTGTGTGTGTGTGTGTGTGTGTGTGTATTCAAATTATTCATTTTTTTGTATCTCCACTATATGCATGATAGCATTGATTGACAGTGCGTAGCTAGTTTAATATTAAATCTACACTATTGGCAATGTCATGAGAAATACAAGTATCACCAAAATGGAAATTTTACTTCATTCTGGAAAAGGAGTTGTGTGTTCTCAGTTTTAGCCAGGATAGTGGTATCATTCTAGTGGGAGTTATGAACTTACTACTGTCTTTCTTTGGAAGTTAAGTATAGTTAAAGAAGTTGTATCTTGTCATAAAGTTGGTGATAGCTGTGTTGTGACCCTTAATCATGGTGTGTCAACTTGAGTGGATTATGAAATGTCCAGCAGATTTGTAAAGCCCACTTCTGGGTGCACCTGCAAGGAATTTCCAGATAGCATTGGAATGCCCTCCACCTAGCTGAGCAGATAAGACCACCTGTTTGTGGGTGGCACTGTCCAATGGGCTTGCAGATTGTGCAGAATAAAAGGGGAAGAAAGAGATTGTCTCTTCACTGCACGGGAGGTCTGCTTTCTTCAGCCACCCATCTCAGGTTGGTAGCAGTGACTTTCCAGTTAGCTTCCAGGCTTTTGATCTGGGTCCTGGAATTGTTTCATTACCCTCTATTGTCCTTCAGCTTACAGCTAATTTTGTTGAGCAGCTACTGGACACTGCGGCTCTCCAGACGGCCACTGTACACAGACAGCCACTGTGTACTCTCCTGCCTCTAAACTGTAAGCCTCCCCAAAATATCTCCTTGTGTAATTTCACATGTGTGTTTTATCCTGAATGTTTTATCCTGATTCTGTTCTAGAGATCTCTAATTCATAGAGTATAATATTTTTCTACACCATATTGATTGACTCATAGACATATACCGTGAAAAATCCAATGTAGTACTTCCAATTTTTATCACGGCTTTGATTTGGTACGCTTTTATCATAAAATTTAATTTCTACTGCTCTTATTAAAATTAAGAAAGCCAACATTCTCTAATCTATCTTACTTAAAAATATTGCTCACCATCTTGAAACTGTAATTTCCTCTTTAACACAAAAAAGCACCATTTTACATTTCAATGCGTTGAAAATTACTCCATCAAGGAATAAATTCTTATGCATGTGTCCACTATCTTCTTTGATATTAACTGCAGAAGGTAAGGAGTTTTACTAACCAATTATCACTGTAGGTAATATGTGACTATAAAATTATACTGTACTAATAAAATGTTACATTTAATTAATAAATAAATGTAAAAATAAGTGATTTTGTCATAGCAAAGATATTTCTGACAAGTCCTAATAAAGATAAATAGTAAAAAAATGAAGTGCATGTATAATAAAATTTGAAGTAGCATTTCCTCTTTAAGGAATTTTTTCTACTTATACTAAATTTTAGCAGTGCAGGGAGACAGGCATTGTAGTGTGTCAGCAAATGTACATTTTCATGAACTGGTATAATATCAAAATATTTCTCATTTCAGATCAGTTCAGTTTTATACCTAGACCTCCCATATAGTGTCCCAGCTCTTCTCCTGAGATCCTACATATGCTCATCAAATATAGAATTAATGCCTATATTAATACAGAATTAGTGAAGAATTATTTAGTTCTGGGGACCTCAGGGGCCCTGGTCTATGGCCATGGATTTCCATTTTATTAGGTAGTGGCTGTGTTATTTAAAATTTTAGACATAAAATTCAAAGTTACTCTCTGGAAACAGGCATGGTTTTGTGTCCTATTTCCTGTCAGATAACAATAGATGGAAGGATGTATGTATAGATGTGTTTGTGGACAGATGTTCAAGTGTATGCGTAGATAAATTGTATAGATAGGGAGATCAATTGATGAATTAGTGTATGAAGAGGAAGATAATAAAGAAACCTACAGTTACACTACAGAGATGTGTAATATTACATGAATATAGACAGACATATATACAAATTTAAAAAAAGGAATCAGAAAATTTCTGAATCCTTCCACTGAGCTATAATTCTTTACAGCAAAAGCTTTCAAAGTTCTGCCCAGACCTGTAACTTGGTTCCTAGAATCCCCTGAAACCAATGATCTCCAAACTCCTAGCAAAAATCGAGCCATGAGCATGACACTGGTGAAGAAAATGATGATTGAAATTATATTAAGTGAATCTAAATAACATGATCTGACTAAATTATTATATTTTGCTTACCCTGAAAGCTGGGATTCACAGGTGCCCCACTATTTGCTCTCCAATGCACTTTTATATTTTTTGGGTATACATTGAAAATGACCTATATTTTATTTGAAATTTCAGTAAAAATTCTGAAAGGTGGCAATTTTTAATTTGTAAATCCATAAAAGTTAACCTCTAACCATTTGCAAATTTCACTTTATTAAAAATAATTCACTACTAATATAAATTAAAATATCCTTGTGATACATTTATTTTGCTGATCTTTAAACTTTAACTTGATTCACCCTTTAAAAATCCCCAAGGCATCTTGTAGTAAACAGTTTTAAAATTATGGGATGTTTTTGTATATGAATGGTAACATAAAGGGTAAAAAATATTCTAAACATCAAGATGAGTCAATAAAATAAAGTATAAATAAAATAAAAGCTCTTTTTGAAAGTATTCATGAAAACCAATTGAATGACTTTTAAAGTTAAGAAATAGAGCCCTATATAAAAGGTGGCAAAATTGCTTATTAGTTTCATGTACAAAAAATAGCACAAGAACTTTAATATCTCTTAAGCCACTTACTCAGCTACTGGAAAAAAACTAGGTATCAGTGCAGCTTTTAATCACAATCCAGCAGATCAAACGTGGTGAACAAAGGGAGTTTTCTTCATAGAAGCAGACAAAAGCATTCTTAGTGAATTTCTTCATTGTTCTAATTTAATGTCACAGATTGATAAAGAGAAAGCCCTGGCAGTGAGCACACAGGATGTTAAGATGAAAGTGGTCTCATGCCTAGCAGAAAAATAGGACAAATATGAACTCTTTTCATAAAACACACCTTTTAGTTTATGTAGATATTTCAATATCCTGCTCACAGGAAACAAGATATAGAGCTGCAAGGAAATGTAACAGATTGTACTGAGAAATGCACCTGTTTGCAGTCCTGCAAACTGAGGCTCCTGTGAATGCACAAGGCTTGGGTTTTCTTAGATTACCTCTTCCCTGACTATGTAGGATAGTTGCAGCACCCATCAACTTTCATAGTAGCCATCAATGTCAGTTTTCATTGCAGATTCTCTTACATTTCTGAGAGAGGGACTGTAATACAGCATTCATCTCTGTACAACTCTACTCCTTCTTCTTAATAATTCAGACTTCCTTTGTCCAAAGATAAAACAGCAGCTACACAGTAAAAGTGTACAAAATCCTGACCAGTCTTTAGATTGAGAGACCTAATGAATCACCATACTCAATGCTGATGATTTAAAATTTAACAGTGCTTAAATTATAGTAATTGAAAGACCACCTCACAGAGATTCTAAGCTTTCTAGTCAGATCTTTGGTA